GAGAGAGAGAGAGAGAGAGAGAGAGAGAGAGAGAGAGAGAATGAAAATAGAAGTCAGAGAACATTTTCAATTCTCCTCCCCATCCCCCCACCCCCGTGTGGGTCCCAGGTAGCAAACTCAGTTTGGCAAGAGATGCCCTTACCCACCTGCTGAGCCATCTCTTCAGACATAGACACATTTATCTTTTCAATTTTTGCCTTAGGAGAGGGAAACTAAGGCACAAGCATTGCTCAAAACCTTCTTTCTAGTCAGTAAATGGCAGAGCTGGGATTTGAACCCTTGGTAGCCTGGCTCCAGAGCCCCAGGTTATGTGGAGATGCAGACACAGCCCTCGGCCCTCCCAGCAAAGAAACTCCTCTATCATAAGCAATCCTGCCCACATCGAGGCAGTGCCCTCATTCCTGCTCCCTCTGCCTACTAAAGATGGGATCTCCTGGTTTTGTCCATTGGCAAGACATTTTGTTCTCACAAACCAAAGCCTTGCCCCCCAGCAGATCCTCCTCAGAAGATGTGGGATAGGCTGGCTTCCCAGAGAGGTGCCTTCCATCTGACACAGAAGATTCTTGTAGAGGAACCGAGTGATATACAAAGTAAGGGCACTTTGTTATTGCCACCAAAAGCATGCCAGAAACCGTCTACTCTCCAGAAATGCTGGCATATGCATATAATCTCATCACTTAGGAGATAGAGATCATAGGATCACAAGTTCAAAGCTAGCCTAGGCTATATAGCCAGCGGTAGGCTAGCCTGGACTATCACATCCTGACTCAAAAAGGAAAGAGAAGAAAAAAGGAAGCTTACTGAGAAAGAAACGTGCACGGGATGGTCCCTTGGGACATTCCATGGCTTCAGGAAACAGCGGGTAACATCTAGTGCAAGCTCTCCAAGCTAGCTAAAGTTGTCCACTGTACAACATTGGCTCTGTGAGTTCAAGGCCATTCTGATCTACGCAGTGAGCTCCAGGACAGCCAGGAGTATGCAGAGAGGCCCTGTCTTCAAACAAAAGAAACCAACAAAAGTCTGAGCTGCACAGAAGCCCAGGCACTTCTCTTTTTCTTCACAGACCCTCTGGGTCCTACGACCAGTTCATTGCATTTCAGTGTCCGGTGCCAGAAACCCAGCCTTACATCCCAAGATTGGCTGGTCTTACACACACACACACACACACACACACACACACACACACACACACACACACACGTCCTATGTGATCTTCAAAAACCAAAACCACCTCTCCAGGGTTTTCTCTCCATTGTCCTTTCAGCCTTTTTATAAATTTTAGAGTCTAACCTAAGTTAATGAAAGTGGTCATTAACCAAACTGGAGCCCTTTAGACCTAAGCAGTTTCTCACAGGTTATAACGTTCTGGCTTTTCACCAGTCTGGAGAGGTGTCCCCATTTCAGGGAAGAGAAAATGTGGCTGTCAGAGGCACTGGCGGGGGTGAACATGGGTCATCCCATGCCCTTCAGCCCCCCAGTCCCCCAAACTGGCTGTCCTGTTCTCAGTGCCCTTCCCAACATCCCCCTGCCTGAGTGCAGATGGGACTTGTAACCCTTTTTCCTTCTGTCCTGCCCACCTTCTGTCCAGTTCCCGTTCCCCACCCCCCCCACACTTTGGTATCTGTGTGCATGTGCAAGGCCAGGGTTGTCTCGTGCTAAGTAAGCACTCTGTCACTAAGCTGTGTCCCTAAGCACTTCCTGCTTACAATTCTCTTGCCCTCTGGGGACTTTCCAAGACACTGAACAGTTCATTATTTAAGAGTGAGTGAAAAATCAGGAGCCAGGCTTGTTGTTGGCTCATGCCTATAATCCCAGCACTCGGGAGGCAGAGGCAGGGGGATCTCTGTGAGTTCGAGGCCAGCCTGGTCTCCAAAGCGAGTTCCAGGAAAGGCGCAAAGCTACACAGAGAAACCCTGTCTCGGAAAAAAACAAAAAAAAACCCAAAAAAAAAACAACAACAACAACAAAAAATCCTTGAACTGCCACCAAGCCACAGAACCCTGAAGCTCTGGGGTATCCAATAGTCTCCCTGACTATTTCCTGGGACTAGCAATCGGAATATTCCATAGCAAGACCTGGGCAACCCTTCAGAGAACCTGAAGGTAGCAGGCAGAGACCAGAGGATAAGAAGTTCAAGGCCATCTTCATCTACATCTCAAGTTCAATTTCACAGCCAACCTGGGATATATAAAACCTTACTGAGGCCAGGCGGTGGTGGCACACGCCTTTAATCCCAGCACTTGGGAGGCAGAATCAGATGGATCTCTGAGTTCGAGGCCAGCCAGGTCTACAGAGCGAGATCCAGGACAGGCTCCAAAACTACACAGAGAAACCCTGTCTCAAAAAAAAAAAAAAAAACTTACTGAAAAAAAGAGAGAGAGAGAAAAGCTGGCAAAATGGCCCAGTGAGTAAAAGTGTAAGCCTGATGACCTGGGTTCGATTCCTGGAACCCATGATGGAAGGAGAAAACACACTCCTGAAGGCCGCTTCTGACCTGCGCGTGCGCACCTTGCCAAGACATCCTGGAGGCCTCACTCACAGATGAACTAACAAGAGCGGCCTATTACTTAGCCTACTACCCTTTGTTTCTAGCACAGGCTCCTTGGAGTAGGATGTAGACCCTGGTTAGGCTCACACATTCCCAGTGCAATGCAGAAAACACACACACACACACACACACACACACACACACACACACACACTCACACTGCACACACACACACTCACACACTCTCTCACACACACTCACACTCACACACACTCACACTTTGAAGCCCAGCTGCCCTTGAAGCCTACAGCCTCTGTGTGCAGCTGAGCCCCTGAAACCGGGTGCACCAGCTGGACCCAGGTGAGCAAGAGCACGGACAAGGTGGGAGGGGAAAAATGCTCCGCAGAGCCCCATGGAGAACATCTGGCCTCTCTGGGAACTCTGTCTCAACTGGGTAACACATTGAATAGCTCAATGGTAATGACCCTCCTTGACATTCAAATCTCAGGACCCTTGCTTTGTTTGTTTGTTTGTTTGTTTGTTTGTTTGTTTGTTTCTGTTTTGATTGGGGTGTTTGTTTGTTTTTTGTTTTGTTGAGATAGGGTCTCACGCTGTTAGCCAGGCAGACCTTGAACTCATGACCATCCTGCCTCTGCATTCCAAGTACTGGGGCTACAGGCATGCCCCACAACACCCAGCCTATGACTACGGCTTTTCAAGAGACTGTGGCCCTCTGATTGGTGCTAATAACTCTTGAGGTCATTTTGCTCTGCCCTGGTGCTTCTAGCCCTGCCTTAGGTCCCCTCCCAGGGGCCTTCAGTCATCTCTGGGCCCTGAGCCAGGCTTCATCAGATGCTGGACATGCTGGCCTCCTGAGCTTTCTCCCCAAATTCCCATCCAAAAGATACTCTCTAGGAATGCTTCGTGTGTGTACACACGGGTGTTAGCCCTGTTCTGTTCTCAGATTGACATCTTCCTGTGCACACAGACTACTCTGCTGAAGGGGGCGGGGGGCAAGGTCTGCTTGCGGGATACAAAGACTGTGATGGCAAAGTCCCTGACCGGAAGGATGGGAGAAAAACCAAGAGTCACAACCCATAACCCTAGGAAACAGTTGGGGACCCCAGCCCTGACTGCTCACCTGTGGGCTCCCCATAGTTGAGGCAACTTGCCCAGACAGAAGCCAAGAGCAAGAGTGTCAGCTAGAGGTGAGGGCAGGCGCCAGAAAGCTCACACAGGGTGGGCACACACGGGCCGCACCAGGTCCCTCAGCTCATCTCTTCTCTGGAGAAGGCTGTCTTCTGGTTCCCCCATAGTCTGAGCTGTAGATGTACATTGTTAGTACATGCGTATAATCCAGGGCACACACTCTAACCACATTCCTAGTCCTCTTCTAACTTTGTTGGTTTTTTTTTTTTTTTTTTTTTTTTTTTTTTTTTTTTTTTTGAGACTTATTCTCACTCTGTAGACCAGGCTGGTGTCCAGGAACTCATAGAGATTCCCTTGCCTCTGCCTCGTGAGTGCTGGTATTAAAAGTATGCACTAATAAATTTAGCTTTTTTTGTTTGCTTGGTTGCTTGGTTGGTTGGTTGGTTTTAGTTTTGATTTTTCAAGACAGGGTTTCTCTGTGTAGCCCTAGCTGTCCTGGAACTCACTCTGTAGACCAGGCTGGGCTCGAACTCAGAGATCCTCCAGCCTCTGCCTCCTGTGCTGGGATTAAAGGCGTGCACCACCACCACTATACTTTCTTTTGAGAGCCTTCAAGTTACCCACATCAGCAACGGGAAGGTGCGTGAACTTGTGCAGATGGTGGGGTGAAGAGAGATGAGCTAAAGAGAGGCAGTGAGGGATCCTAGGAGCGGGGAAGCTGCAGAGCTGGAGCAGGACA